ATTCTCCAAAAGGTTTTAACATTAGCATTAGCTGTGAGTCTGGAAAAAAAAAAGTCTTAGCAGAGTTCTATTTGTATTAATAGTAATCCAAGCTGATAGTAGATGCAGACAGCTAAAGCCTCTTAGGCTGAACACAGTAATTCTGATGTTGTAGCAAAACCTTGGTATACATCTAGTGCATAATTAAGAGAGATGATACTCTGGTTGAAAGCCATTTGTGAGATGTATTAATGAGCAGAACACCTTGTCATTCAGAAGAATAGTGGTTATTCTGATCTCTGTTGCCAAAAGAAGAAAAATTCATGTCTGAGAAGGAAGCCTTAAATAACAGGTCAAAACTCAACTGTGGTCCTCTCCTTTTCCTTCATCTCCTATCTCCAGAGGGGCTACTGACTTTCCTGGGGTGCTGTGAAGTTTCACTTTCATGTGAAAAGGTAAATTAGTTCACTCAAATGAAAGTACATTTCAAATGAGCCTGTTTGGCAGCGGTGTTGGGGGAGGGAAGCTATGAGGGGCTTTATGTTTCTTAAGTTCAGTCACCAGCATTTGTGAAGTGGCTAAGCTTCAGAGCAGTGTTTCTTCCAGTTCCCTCCAGCCCTAGTCTGCAGCTTTTAAAATATGGCTCTATAGTTTTTTCCAATTCTGAAAAAGTATCCCAGAAGCAAAGAACACACTGCCCAGTAAAGCAAAAGTAAACTGAAGTATGTGTTGGCATTTTAAGGAAGGAGGCAGGGAATAAGGGAAGGGAGGGAGATGGAAAGGAAGGAAGAGAAGGAAAGGAAGATGGGGAGGGAAGAAGGGAAGGGAAATTATTAATAACTTTTAAAGGTGTGAAAGCTTAACAATCTTTTCTTACAGTCATTTTCTGCAGTTACCTAATGAGAATCTTTCAGGTCTTGATAACATGCCATGACAACAATTAAAACAAAATACACCCTTCAGTTCCCAACCAAGGAATTCCTTCAGAAATCTCAAACACAGTATCTTAGGGAGCACTACAAGTGTATTAATGAATAAGCAATATACAGAAACATATTAAAAAACCCAAATTTAAGGTATTTGGTTACTTCTGCAGACAAAACTGGTTTAGGGATCCTTTTGTGATATGATAGCATAAATCTTTCATAGCTATAAATCAATTTAGAGTCTGGACTAGGATGCTACTGTTTTACAAAAAAAAATATTTCTCATTGTTGCTTTCAAACATGCCAATATTGTTTTGTACTATTGGGTAGACAGCTTTGAATTGACCTAGAGCTGAAATATTTTTGCAGTTACAGAAGGAGCCATGGCATCTCATGAAAATGCTGTTTCTACCTTGCTGAAATGTCATGGAACTAATCTCTGTGTTTAGTTAGTTCTTTTTATTCAGAAAACTGTGTGTGAATTTCTGTGATCAGTAAAGGTGATGTTTGTTCTGACAAGCTGGACAAAAAGCCAACCCAAGGAAGCAGAATATCCCTGTGCTGTACAGTCAGGTCCTACCCTAACAAGGAGAATGGCTTGTATCTTGTGATGCTTTCCTGCTGCTTGTGGCAGGTGAGGGGAGATATGCTAGACAGGCCCGTAAGGTGAAAGAGCAGCAGTTTATCTGTGGGAATCAGAACAACAGACAGTGTTTACTATCTGTTGGCTCCAGTCTTTCCTCCCTCACTGTTAAGGGGGAGTTAAAACCCACCTAATGATGGGGTCAGAATGGTTTATGTACTTTGCTGTGGGCATACCTTCTCCACACAATCACTGAAGATCTTGTGCATCCTAGTCGGTTGGAATGAGAAAAGGGGAACTTCTCTCCTTTGCCATGTATCTGGAATTCAGCTAGGTAGGTTGTGAGCAAAATTAAGGTTTTTGCCATTTGGCTTGTTGTAAGGGTTCATGTTCCAAAATTCAGAGCTGGGAAGAGAATTTAGGAGAACAAAATTTGGCAAAGGGAGTTGAGGTCACCCAAGTCTGGTGGAGCAGGGAAGCAGCTTCCTGTACATTATTTCCCACTTGCATTTATGTTTCCCCCTTTAAACTTTAAAGAGGGTCAGCATCCCAGCAGAGCCTGCACTGAATTGCATGCACTGATGGCAGGCATAATCAAGGAACACAGTATGGTTTCTATTGCTAGGTCATGTTTCCAGATGACAGTGAAGTTGCAGCCTAATTAAAGCAAAGTCCTTGTGTCTGTGTATGGTTGGGACAATTAGACTAGCTCTTGGTCTTAGTCAAATGCTAGTATAATCTGACAGGTGCATTATGTCCATGCGTGAATCAAAGAATAGTAAAAGGAAATATCAAAATACCAATGAACAGGAGTGGAAACCATGAGAAATATTTCAGTTATTGTATTTTGGACTTCATGAGTGATTTTGGGACATAATGAACTATGAATATGTACTGAAAACCCTTAAGTAATACTCATTTCCAAAATAGACTTTTTTGTGAAATATATAGTGAAAAGTGAGAAAGAAAAATTGGTAGTTTTTAAAAATTTTATTTGGGGATAATCTTAAGCTAAAATTGATTTGTTAATTATAAAACTTTGTGTCTTATTAAATCATGTTAAGTAAAGTAAAATACGAATTTAAGTTGCTGTTAGCTGTAGGGTTGTCTTCACTCTGCAGGTTATTTAGCCTTTATTACATTTTAGGAGAATAATTTGTATATTTGGTATTTAACTGTAGCAACTATGAAAACTCAACATATTTCCAGTGGTACTGTTTGCATTATAATTCTCATGAATATAACGGTTTTAAAATCTTTTACTAGCTCCTGCTTTTCAAAATACTACATCTGTGTTAATAGCTGTATTTTACTAAATTTTCCTATGGTTATCTGAGCGGACTACTTCAAGTCTGGAATGGGTCCTTGTGGAAAGTACGGCATGACTGTACCTTATACATACTGCTTCTAAATGTCCCATGAATTAATTGTAATATCTGAATTAATTTTAGCTGTAGTAGTGCTATAATTATTTGGTTTGCATTCTTTGGTATTGTAATAGAACTACACAGTATAGTTTCATGTTGTGTGTGTAAAAATCATTTAACAGACTTGAGTAAAATTTGTGTGTGTAATTTAAGATTCATTCAAAATTAATATGCCATATAAATAATATGCAACCTACTGAGCTAATGTCAAAGCAGTGTACACTAATAATTGATCCCCTACTTTATTTAGTTGCTTTCATAATGACATTTTAACAGTTAGAAATGTAAATAAATTTTCATGGTGTTTTCTTTTCTTCAACAGGATACTACAGGTATAGAAAAACTGTCAAACTGTTGTGAAGACATGTAAGTTCTGTAAAATTTTTACGCTGATGAAATGCCAAAGGAGCAAGCTGTTTTTTTAAACTGGGTGGTAGAGTAAAGGAACTGAAGGAACTCTGTTAAGATGGTTTTGCATAGTACTGTGCCTTGTACTTCCTATCTTTAGCAGCAGCTCACTAATCTTTTAGTACTGGTTGTACACAAAGTAATCTCCCTACCCAAACCCAGTGGAACTATATTTTTTTTCAAAAGTATAGGTTCAAAATATACTTTCTGCTGTGTTTTTACATACATTTCATTGATTCTGAGGTCTCCTGTGCTTCAAAAGTTGCTTTTGTTTCATTGATGACCCAGATAGTTTCTGTTCTCCAAAGTTAAATCTCAGCTGTGTGCAGTAATGAAAGAAAAGTTGTGTTTGTGACGCTGAGATGCAATTCATCAGAGTCCAGTAATGGATCCCCAGCCAACCTACATTGTTCTAGCTGACTGAAGTGCACTGTGGGCATGCTGTCTTTCACTAATAATGTTGTCTTCTGTAGATCGAGGCCCCGAAAGCCATGGCAGCAGACCTTCTCAGAAGTTTTTGGCACTCACTGGAAGATCCTGTGGTTTATTCCTTTCAGGCAGAGGCAACCACTGCGAGTTCCCTACCACTTTGCCAATCATGTCTAAGCAGGTGGATGGTGGGTACAGATGGGTCCTCCATGCTGGAAGTGTGTCTTCAAGTCAATTAAAATCCAGTTGTATGCGTCACAGTGTTCCCCAGGCATTATTTTAGTTGTGGTGTTGATTCTGTTCTGAGATTAATGCAGATTGATGGTTTAATTTTATGCATATTTAATTTCAGATTAGCTTTTCAAAGAGATTTCTTTTAGTTTTGAGATTAATACCAAAAGCAAATGACTGAAATGCAGTCTTCCTCTATTTGTTTGATACTGGCTCTTTTTTTTTTACTTTTTTTTTACTTTTTTTTTTTGTAGGAAGCACTGAAGTTTACATTCATGGTTAGATTTCTCTCCAAGTGACTTATTCTGCCTTGAATTTTTTTTTAGTGTTTTTATCAGCAGTTATCTGTCTAGATAACATTAGTGTCTTTTTTTTTCTGCATGTGTTGTAAGTTCCCTGATACTGCCAGTTATTTATGATATGCAATAGTAATTGTTCAGCACTCCGCTATAAAAAGCAACATTTAAAACTGAGGCAGACTACTTCCTAAACCTTTCTCAGAGAGGTTTTTATAAATGCACATAAACGTGTATGTTTATATAGAGAAGTCTTACATCTTACACTTATCTTTTGGCCTAGATATGATCTTAGTGAAAAATATTCCTGTCCCTATGTCAACAAGAGGGATTAAATATTCCAGGGTAAACTGTGCAGGTAGAAGGCATGTTTTCCCTATATCCCAAGTATTTCTGTGCAATAATTCAACAAAGAAGTTGCATGGTGCAAATACTAGAATGATTACTTTTTAAAAATGCAGATGTAGTTAGTTAGCATAATGTACCATAAAGAAGAGTATATTGTCAATAAAGTTATAAATTTTATATTTTCTTTAGTCATGATTAGCTGGAAGTCTGAATGTTTGTATATTGGAAATACAAATATTTAAAATATTTATACATAAATATAGATTTGCTACTAACATGTTCAGTGAAGTATATTAACTCATTTAATAGGGTATTATGTCGAAGTAGATACCTTCTTGCTCCTTTAAGTATGGAAGTAGTTAACCAAAGAAAGCATCCTTCATATCTGGTAAAATGACAACAATTGCCAAAGTACTGACTCGGCCTTTCTGTACCTGGAAAAATTATGTACTTATTTTAGCCCTCTGTATCAATACAAATATCAGCATAAGATGATTGTGGAAAGTACTATGAATTTCTCCTAGAAATCCAGTGGGTTTAGTTATGCTAGTTTGTGTTTGTTGCATAGTCTGACAGGACAAGGATCCACCTTGAATGGCAGCCATGCAACTGGACACAATAAAAGATACAAAATCAGGATTTAATATACATAGACTGTGTAGGATGTGATAGTTTATCTGTGAACAGTTAATCCAAAAACAAAGGGCAAGACTTGTCATGAGTGGTGTTTGTAACAAATTTTAAAAGACTTGTTTATAATGCAGTTACTGCCAATGTTTGGTGTCGTTTTATCAAATTAACAGATTTTGGTGATCCATTGGCAGTTTCAAAGGGTACATCTTAAAAATCACTTGAATTTTAAACTTTTGTAAACTTCTAACACTTGATCCAACTTTACTTTTCCTCTCTTTTTAAAAATAGATGGATTGTTTTATTCTTTTAAATTTCAAGCCTAATATTCAACCATTTTTTTCATGTCAGTTTTAGTGAGCTTAGACTTTCTTCAAGGTGGAATTGGCAGCAATATTTAAAAAGAAGACTGGGACAATGCTGGAAATTCAAAAGAATGTGGATATACATAATAAATTTATGTCTCTATTCTCTTTCCCCCTCACCTCCTCCCCCCCCTTTTTTTTTTCTTTTTTTTTTTTAAGGAATGCCACTGTTATAGTCTCTGGCATATGCAGGGGAATAATAGCAGTTTTCCTTTTCCGTGCCAACACAGTAGTTTTTTAAAAAGATTTTTTGTGCCAATCACTTATTGTAGTTAGCAGATTGTACAATTCTGAACCTTATTCAGAAAGAGGATCCCGAATTTAACTCTTTTTGATACGTTTACCGTGGGGCACATAACTGTGCGTGGTGTTTCGCGGTGTTACCGTACGACCGAAAGAGTGCGGGGAGCACCAAACCTGTCCCGCAGAGCGCGCCCTTCGGCAGGAGCCCCGGTGGCGAACAGAGCGCTTCGTTCGTGTTCCCGGAGCGCAGCCGGGCAGCGGAGCAGTGGGCAGTGCGGGCTCCGTGGGGATGGAGGATCCAGGATCAGCCCCTGTCCCCAGCCGGGCGCGCGCTCCCCGCGCCCCCTGTCGCCGGTTGCCTGTCGCGACAGCGGCGGTGAGCGGCCCGCAAGGGGCGAGTGGCCGCTCCCCGGGAGCCGAGCAGAGCCCTCCCTGTCCGTGAAAACCTTGCCCGGTTCTCAAAACGAAATATTCGAACGAAAGTGTTGTTTTCGCAGGTTTGCGACGTCTCCAATGTTACCGTATGGGATTTTTTTCCTTTTTTTTCTTTTTTTTTTTTTTTTAATTGTAAATCTACTTTTTCTCAGTCTCCCATCATAACATTAGGAATCAATATGTAATATGATTAAGATTACTGGGTAATTTCTGCCCCTTTTCTCGGAATTTGGAGAACAGAACGGAGAATTTGGAGAAGCTTCATGTTTCAGGAGGTATTGAACTGTATTCTTTGCATGAGAGGCCTCTAAGAGGGTAAAATTAATTTTTTTTTTTTTTTTTTTTTACATTTAGCTGAATGACCCTATAATGTTATTAGTTTATCAGAGTAAAGTTTCTGAAACTGATTCTCAGAGTTTTTCCATCAGAAAAAGATCAGGTGGACTTTTATGTTATAATTGGAAATTCCTGAATCCACTGAACCTTTCCTTTGAAATCCCACTTCTTTTCCCTCCAGGTCTCCTGTATGATTTTTTGTTTTAGTAAAAACTGCATTCTTAATATTGATTAGCGCTTGTCATTGTTAGGCATTTAAAAACAACTTATAGATAATGTTACTGAATTTCATCCTAATATAGTATCAGAATAACACATGCTTCATTGAGCACAGTGCATATTAGCTTCTGACTTGGCAATATTTGATTTCCTGAGAGGCACAAAGAGAAGTTAAAGAATGAATGAAAAAGCCCCTGAATACATTTGAAAGTAGCTGGTTTATTTCCTGTGTGGGGTAGCTCCTGGTAGGACCAAAGAATGCTATCTAGCTATCTTCTCATAATATCAGGGATTTGAGATTTCATTTGAAAAATTCCCATGTACATAATAAAAGGTAATGCATTAAATAATGTCTGTGAACCTATCTTCAGATCTACTGCTTTGAAGTAGAGGTTCGGTCTCACAGCTACTGGAGTAGTTCAGATACGCAGTCATTTTCAGTCTTGAGGAGAGGTAACTGATTGTTAGGATGGAGTTTAAACTAGGCAGCTTACTCCTTGTTATGCATCTAGAGGGGGCAAACATGAACAGGAGATGTATAAAAGCACAGAGAAAATGGAGATGGGCCAAAAGTGTTGTTTTGATTTGATATCAAAGTTTACTCATTGCAAAGAGCAGGAGTTACACAATCAAATTCACAGGCCATCATTGTATGTCTTTCAGTGTTTATCTTACAATTGCCCAGATTTATTCAGTAAATAATTTTAGAAATTTTCAATTCATTCTTTGTTCTGTGCCATAGCAGTCTAACATATGTCAATGTGAGGAAGCAAGTAACAAAGGCAGGATTTCTGGAGTACTGTGAAAGAAATCAACTGCATTTATATGAAACATATGATAATAAGTTTTCTGCTAACCTGAAATTGTTAGTTGACATAAAACACTTCTTTTATAATGCATTTTTTACTGTATTTGATTGGCCTTCCTGCCAGTAGTACTTCACTTGTAGCAGAGAGTTTCTGTCACATATTTGAGGATGCTATCAATTACATGTATTACTTAAATGGGCTATTTCCTCTTTTCAGTATGCACTCAATTTCACTGCAGCTTGTTAGTAGGAAGCCAATATGCCTTCATTGGAGCAACAAAATACAATTGACTGTTGGCAATTTTGTCAATATCCCAACTGGAAATACCACTTCATTCCTTAGAAGTGTTTTATTTGTAGGGTGTGCTCTTGATATTTCTGGACAAAAATTGATGCTTATTCTATGTATATTCCCATCAATAATACTGGATTAGCACTTCTAAACTATTTCCTTCTAAAGGATTTTTCTTTACTGCCCCCAGTATAAATCACTGTTAGTCATACCTCATAGCCATTGAGTAGCTGTCTGTTAGCTTTTACCTGGGCTGAAATAGTAATGGACACATGGTGTGCTTCTGCAAGCCCTGGTAGACCTCAGTTTAAGACCTACCAACTACATCAGATTAGTTGTTGGGTAAGATGTAGGTACTTACTTGAGATTATTCCTTGATGGCCCTTAGATCTTGTGCTTAGATTTTCTGCTGTGCTAACTGGTGTGAATCCTTGAAGAGCCTTTGAAATTAGAGGTGCCAGGTCTCTAGAAGCTTTGCACTTTGTTTTAAGCACATGACTTAAGGCTTAATTTTCCTGCTGAGTAGTTGATGCTTGGTATTTAATGACATGATGCATTTTTGTGTTTGACAGGGAAGGAGTTAGGTTTAAAAATAACTTCTATCAGTGTCTCAGAGGCTGAACTTGTGGATAGTGTCTCACAACAAATCAGGTGATAGTCACTTCTCATTCAGTTCCAGACCCTTTGTCCAAAGTATTTGCTATTTGACACTCAGTGTTTCCATAACATGTATATGTGGTAGGAAGTTTCAAGACGGTGTAAATGAGAATGTTTTCAAGAAGCACTTTTTTTTTGTCCCGGGAAGAAATTCTACTTTTGAGCAATTTACAATTACAATTTCTGTAAGAGATCAGAGCTTTCTTAGTTGTATTGGAGTCTCATTTATCCAGACAAAATCACTCCTGTTGTCATTCATTTTCTACTATTGAAAAGTTACCACCTAAAATGACTTCTATGCATTCCTCTGCTCACTTCCAACTTTGAT